AGTTTTCTTGAGGAGTTCCAATTGTCAACACAGGAAGGATAATGAAGTACTATATCAATTGGCATAATTATTATAACAAGCCTCCACTGTATGCATTAAATGAGTTTTAATAACAATGTCAGCCTTTTCCTTCATAATATTTTAGTAAATTGATACTTTAAACAATAAAAAAAGGAGCCCAGCTGGCATGGCTCTGTCGTTGAGTGTTGACCTATGAACCAGGAGGTCATGATTCGATTTCTGGTCAGGGCACATGCCTGGGTTGCGGGCTTGATCCTCAGTGTGGGGCATGCAGGAAGCAGCCAATCAATGATTCTTTCATCATTGATGTTTCTATCTCTCTCTCCCTCTCTCTTCCTCTCTGAAATCAATAAAAAAATATGTATGTACTAGAGATCCAGTGCATGAAATTCATGCACAGGTAGGATCCCTAGGCTTCGCCGGTGATTAGGACTGATCTGTGGGGCGACCAGTGGGGTGGTGTGAGGGCAGTCCCTCCTGGCACCTGCCTTGGCTGGCCTGGTGCCGCCTGCTCGCCAGCCTGCCCCCCGCCGCTGCCAGTCAGAGCCTGCGGGCTGGGGGCAGCTCCTGCATTGACCATCTGCCCCCTGGTAGTGAGTGCATGTCATAGGGACAAGTCGTTCCACTGTTTGGTCAATTTGCATATTAGGCTTTTATTATATAGGAAAAAAGTAGGGCAGGGTTTCCTTCATATAGAATCATTAAAAGTATGGTCCTTTCTTTTCAGGGATACCAACAGAACACCATTAGGAACTGCAATTCTGTTTGCACAGTTTCCTTTCCTTTTAGAGCAGTGGTTCTCAACCTTCTGGCCCTTTAAATACAGTTCCTCATGTTGTGACCCAACCATAAAATTATTTTTGTTGCTACTTCATAACTGTAATGTTGCTACTGTTATGAATCATAATGTAAATATCTGATATGCAGGATGGTCTTAGGCGACCCCTGTGAAAGGGTCGTTTGACCACCAAGGGGTTGAGACCCACAGGTTGAGAACCACTGTTTTAGAAGCTCTGCTCTGGATATCAACAGCAGACACCTAAATTAGGAGCATATAAGCCATTCTAAGGGTCCCTGGTGGCCCAGGCATCATAGTCAATCTATTACAGGACAGGATAATGTACCTCTAGTTCGACTGCAATATTGGTTGATTTACTGTTTATTTTGCACTGAAACCATACATGGGAAGATGAAAACAATTGTCTGGGTGACTGAGGATCTCAGCTTCTCCTCAGGATTAAATCCTGCACATGCTGCTATCCGAACACCTGGGGCACATCAGCAAAGCTTCGGGCGCTGGTGCTGCGGGAGCATTATGGAAGTGGAGTGGCAGGAGGGACCTCTGGGTGAACAAATGTCCAGTGGAAAATGGGGTAATCGTCTGGTGACATGGGAGAGACCAGCCTGACTCAGGGAAGCAGCAAACCTTATTCTGTAATCCCTGATGCAGGGTTCTCGACCAGCTGAAAAGAACCAAAAATTGTCGTCCAGAGAGTCTGAACAGTAGTAGACTACAGTTTTTACTATTTTACCTATAGCATATGTATTGCACCTATAGTAGAAACTCTTTTAAATAACCTCCACTACAAAGAGTCACCATGTTAGCAGACACTGTCCAGCCCTCAGTGGAGTTTAGCTGTGCCCTAGTAAACCATTGAGGAAGTGCTGGGCTCCTTAGAAAGCCTGTGTACCTCTGTGCCCACTGGTTGAGCTGTTTGATTGCCAAGAGTCACTTCATGTTCATTCCCAGGTTTATTCAGTTGCTCTTTTTATTGTAATTATACAATTTAGTGAAACATTCTATAAATGGATAAAATCTGAGTGTGAAAAGAGTTGCCATTTCTATGAAAACCAAGTAAGTGCTTTGGAAAGAATGAAAAAAGTGAAGCTGCCAAAAATAGAAAACTGCTGTTTGATTAGGTGTTGATGAGACAACTTGTGAAAGACTGTAAGGGAAAAAAAAATCCTGAAAACTGTGGGTTCTCGACTCAACTGACTTGTGAGTCTTTAAATGTTCATTCCACTTTAACGATGCACAAGCTGATGATAACCAGAGGGGATGCATTCTGGGTAGGGTGTATGTGAGAACGATGATTCAGTTTGCAATCGATGGGCTCTTATTAAAATGCCTTGGCCTGACTTTAAAATGTGGGCCAATGTACATTTGTATGGGTCAGGTTGAAAGAAAATGACTAAGGTTAAGTATTATTTGATTCATGGTTTTCCATTTAAAACTAACTTTTTATATTAATCAAGCAGTTCATGAAGGGGCATCTTCGGCACTTTACCCAGGCAGGGCCCCTACGGCTCCTTTTGGAGTTCTGGGATGAGGCCCTCTGTTGGGAGAGCTCGTGTGTGCGGGAGGAGCTGAGACACTGGGTGGTCTAGTGACTCCAGTGGTCGGCAAACTCATTAGTCAACAGAGCCAAATATCAACAGTACAACGATTGAAATTTCTTTTGAGAGCCAAATTTTTTAAACTTAAACTATATAGGTAGGTACATTGTTATTAACTTAATTAGGGTACTCCTAAGGCTTAGGAAGAGCCACACTCAAGGGGCCAAAGAGCCTCATGTGGCTCGCGAGCCGCAGTTTGCCGACCACTGGCTGGTCTTTCCACTCCGGCTGTATGAGGTGGAATGGCAGAAACCTTCCCAGGGTAACCGTGTGGCCAGAAAGCTTTGGGGGAGTATGGCAGATCCTCCTGGGTCAGCAGACAGAATCCCAAGCCTTAGGGAAGCCAGAGCAGGTATAAACACGAGAGCTGCCTTGTAAAGCCAAGCTAATATTCTTGCTTGCTGAAAATGAAGGGAAGTGTTTTGACTTTTTCTTTTCCCCCCAATGATTTAGGTTTTAAACTGCAACTGTAACTTGCAATACAATATTTTTTCAGAGAAAGTTTTCCTATGCTATTTAAATACACCTAAATGGCCTAGCCAGTGTGGCTCAGTGGTTGAGCATTGACCTATGAGCCAGGAGGTCACAGTTCCATTCTTGGTCAGGGCACATGCCTTTTTTTTTTAGCTCAATCCCCAGTAGGGGGCGTGCAGGAGGCAGCTGATCAAAGATTTTCTCTCATCATTGATGTTTCTATCTCTCTCTCCCTCTCCCTTCCTCTCTGAAATCAATAAAAAATATATTTAAAACAAAAAAACCTTAAAAAACTTTAGCTAAATGGGCCATGCCCAGAGGGAAGGGGGCAGAGGTAGTTTTCAATATTGTAAAAATAAAAGAAAAATTTAAAAGAAACAGAATGGTCATGTTGTATATAATTGCTAGTTTTACACTAGGTTAGTGGGAGAAATGTAAGCCAGCCCCAAAGTGACTGATTGGCAATAAATACAATTCAAATGACTTATGTCACTATTGCTTTTGGAATCTGCCCTCTCGTTAGGCCTGTAACAATGATTGTTGGAAGGACTTGAGAAGCTTTATCCTTGCAATTCCCCATTACTCCTTGTTTTGTTGTGTACAAACATGGAAAGAATTAGATACACAGAGATGGGCGAGGGGATTAGGTGCTTGGAAAGAAAAGGAATTCTTTCCTCAGCAACTTTTATGTAGAATTAGCAATATCAAAATAAAGGCAATTTTCAATCACCCAAAGTAAATGATCACCCAAATAATGAAGAATCCTAGCATTTACCCTCTTTCTTTCTAACGCTGATAAAGACACCAACATCTGTTGAATCTTCCTAACAGGGACCTCTGTACAAACCAGTTTAAGGGTGCTCTGAGAGGACGAAACATTTCATTAATCACTGTGCGGTATATTTATAAGTTTGTTTTCATCTCTCAGGAAACAGGTTTCTTACCAAAGCACATTTAATAAAACAACCTTTATTTTTATGGTTTTACTGAAGATAAGCTCAAAGTGTTCGACTGACTGCTATAATTCTTTAAAATTAACCACCAGTGAATCATACTCACTTTATATCCTTATCCCAAGTGATTTAGAGTCTGCCTTATTATTTTTGTTTGAACCAGACAGGAAATAGATTTTAAGAATAGAAAATATGGTACTAAAACCTTTCCTTTCAGCCTATATATATTTTTTCAGGTAAACACAGTGCACATCCGGGTAGGACCTTAGAAAACACAGCCTTCATCTCTTAAGAGAAATATATTATCCTATTATGTGTACCTATTGGTATATGTGTTTCAAGCATCTACAGACGTGGAACTGTATTAGGCAACTCGGCCACATTCTGTGGGCCAGCCTGTGGGCACAGCGTCCTCCTGAAAAGACTTCTATGAGCGTCACGGTATTCAATGAGCCTCCACCTTGCTTTACTGCCCTGCCACACATTTTATTTGACAAGTCTCCACATTTTCAAGGTCAGATATATTTCTTATCTGGAATCTTGAGAGATGGTAGCCATGAAAACTCTGCATTGAGATACAAAAAGAATGCCTGAGAGCCACTGCAGCAATGGGCTTTGCCTCAGAATGAAATAAAGTCACGGCCTCAGCGTGCTTGATATCCTGCGGCCCAGTGGGAGGTGTGAGGAGAGCATCCCAATCCTGTACCTGGAAAGACATAAATACCGGGGTAGGCAAAAGTAGGTTTACAATCAGGAGTATGCGTAACAGTTTATTCTTGTCGTACCTGGTGTTTATTAATTACTATATTATTTATTTGTATTCTAACTGGAAACCTACTTTTGCCCACCCCTGTATATATATTTTTAAAAAGGCTTAAATTCCAAACATGGCAATAAAGTGCCTTCTCGTTTCACTCCTTTTTTCTGCTGCAAAAAGCTTTCTTGTTTCCATTTGGTTCACTGCATGGGAGAGGGCTTCAGGGTGGTTAAAAGGATGACTAGTGGTTTCAGGGAGAGGCTCAGGCAAAATCCAGCCGCCAGGGGCCCCTCAAAGGCCTCTGGGCTCCAATGGTTGCCTGACCTGCGTGGGGGCCGGCCAGCCTGAGGATGTTAGTCAGGTGTCGCCCATCTTCTTGATGAGTTTCACCTCCTCACCCAGAAGTGGTTCTTCAGGAAGTCACGGAGCTGAGGGTCTATGTGGGTAGAACCCAGGGCCTGCAGCTCCAAAAAGGCCTGGTTCAGGCTCCTCTCCAAGGCCAGGGCAGCTTCCATGGCGTCCTGAGTTTTACCTGGCATCCTGGGAAGGCTTCAGCACGTCCTGGAAGAGAACATGGCTATGTGCTGGTTTGCATCTTTAAGAGACACTCAATGCCCTTGAACTTCTTTGCCAACTCGTGGAAGAAGTGGCCCATGCCCTCAAGAGCCACATTGTCTTGGTTGAAATAGAAGCCCAGAGGAAGGTAGGTGCGGGAGGCCTGCAGATGCAGGTTGGCCAGGCGGGTGGCCGCAGCCTCTTCCTCAGTGTAATAATTCTGACCGATTTGGGAGCTCACGGTTGTTCGGAAATAAGGAGTTAAGGTAAAACAAAAACAAAAATGGCGTTGTCTGGTTTCGGAGGCTGAGGATGACTGAGGTGGTTCTGAAGGTGGTGACTGGAAAAGAGGTTGGAGGGTGGTCGGAGGCTGGAAGAAGGGACGTCCCTAGGTCTGCTCTGTCCAACCACTGTTGAGGCAAGAGACAGATGCAGGGGGATGCCAAGGGCACTGCCTCATTATGCTCTTAATCTAACCTGACCTGGTAGGGCATCTTAATTACTTTCAAATGTCTCCATAGAAATCTTTCTCAAGCAGTGGGAGACTTAGATTTTTTCATATATATGACATTAATGATTCACTAGAATACATGGCCTGAGAACTAACCAGTGTTTGTTTCTTTTTAATCTTTATTGTTGAGAATATTAGAGATGTCCCTCCTTTGCCCGCCTCCACCCGGTTCCTGCCCCACCCCAGGCCTTCACCACACTACTGTCTGTGTCCATGGGTTATGCATAGATGCATACAAGTTCTTTGGTTGATCTCTTCCCCCATCCCCTTCCCTCTGAGATTCATCAGTCTGTTCCATGTTTCCATGCTGCTGGTTCTATTTTGTTCCTCAGTTTATTTTGTTCATTAGATTCCACATATAAGTGAGATCATGCGACATTTGTCTTTCTCTGAGAGGTCCCTTCATGTTGTCTCAAAGGGTAATAGATCCTTCTTTTTTACAGTTGCATAGTGTTTGCCTGCATATATGTACTCAATAGAATGTCACTTCATTACATAAAGTGTAGCAGTGGAAACTGCAGAAAAAAACTAAGAGTTAAAAGCAAGGTGGAGTCACTACTTGTATAACAGACTTGAACACTGAGCCATAAGACTCAGAATCTAAGACCTATACCACCTCCAGGGTGGTGCTCATTGTCACAAACCAAGCCCCCCCACCCCACATACTGGGAAGGGTGAGTGAAATGCAAGGCCTGAAAGGCACAACAGCAACACCCATATGGTGCATGGTGCTTACTTACAGTGCTACCACTGTAGTGGTAGATCGCTTCTCTGTTTGACCTTGATCCTTCAGGACATTGGCATAGTTGTGGTGAACCTGGGTATTGTTGGGCAGAGTTTGAACTCCAGACCTAGAATTAATAAATTAAAAAAAAAGAGCAACAAAGAATATTGCTTAGGAATGTTGTCAGTTTCTGTCACATTTACTCAGTTTCATGAATCTGTGTTTGTAGTGGTTTTTTCTAAGTTAAGACCTTCGATTTTTGTGAATTGTATAAGACAATAAATATGCCTATATGTAACATGATGAGAACGGTATCTAAACAAACATGCTATGTGCATGTGAACAAAATGCCCTTAGCATGTAAACCTAAGAGTTTCCATGTGTCAGAGACACACACACATCTGGAGTCGGGTCGGGGCTCTGTTATCTCACCTGAGGCATCTCTGGGAGCACAGCAGGGCCCATTTCTAGACCTGAGGGCACAGCATAACTAGGGTCACACTCTCAATTATCAGGCCCGTCTGCTTTCCTAATTTGGGGTGCAGTGGGCAGAAGATGGGATGTTACTGGGCCTATGCTGCTGCCGCTGCAAAACTTGACCCGCAGTGGCCAATCACAGACACTCCTCCTCCTGGAAGGAGGCAGACATTAGGCAAACCTTTTTTCCTTTGATGTCTATCCATCTAAAAGGGGGCAGACTTTTTAATCTATAAGCTCAAAAGAGAACCAAAGCAGGAAAAGATTAAATAGTTTTCATAAAAGGAGAATAAACCCAAACCACAACCTCCTCTGTAAAAGATCAGATCTACTGGGCGGTGCTCCTTTGTTCTCTGCCTTCTCTCCCTTTGTTCTTCCCCACCATTCTGGCTGCCTTCAGTGTGGGGACCCCTGCCACCGGTGTGTGTGCAAGACTCTCCCTCCCCCTCCCTGCCTGCAGGGTTATCCCATCCTCCTTCACACGCACAGTTCTCAGGGTGTCTGTTGGGAGGAAAACACATTCCAGGCCTAGGAGTGTGCATGGGACTGGAAGTTCCTTAATTACCCAATAGTGGTGGGTAGTAAAGTTGTGCTTGTTAGAGGTAATTATCACATGCTGGCCAGGCCAGAATGTACTCTGTGTTCAAAATGCACTTGGAGTTCCAATTGAACACAGAAAGGAAAAGGTCGAAAGACGTGAGCGGCCCAGAGCAGAATCGTGAATAGGGGAAAATTTCCGAAGTGACATGGTTTGGACAAATGAATTTGCAAGCATTTGAAAATCGGAGTAATTCAATATATATATGCAGGGTTCACTATGTGCTAAGCACCATGCTAGGGGCTGGGCACAGTCAGAAGGGCTGGAAATCTGGGCAATTACTAAACGGGTTATTAGAGTGGTAACAGAGAGCCGTGAGAGCTGAGAAGAGGAGGCTTAACCCAGACCAGGGGGCCAGGGGAAGCTTCTGGGAGCCAGGGACAGCTAAGCTGGGACTTTAAGAATAGGTTGAAATTAGCTTCTGGAGGGGAAGGGGGGTGCAGAGTACAAGTAGAAAGGAGAGTGTAGGGCTTTTAAGGGACTGTAAGAAATTCAGCGTGGCTGGATCTTAGAAGGCTGAGTCTGGGGGTGAAGAGACCTGAGAGGACCTGGGGGTCACACTGGAGGCTTTGGGATTCATGTGAAGTGCACTATGAGTCAGTGGAATGTTTTAAACAGAGGAGTTGGAAAATTTTCTGTGAAGGGCCAGAGAGTAAATATTTTTCGGGGGAGTCATATGATCGCTGTTGTGGTATGAAAGCAGCTATAGAGAATACAGAAACAAGTGGGCATGGCTATGTTCCTTTAGAACTTTACTTACAAAAATAGGTGGAGGGCTGGATTTGACCCAAAGTCTGTAGTTGGCTGGCCCCTGATTGAAGTGTTAGTTTTTAAGCTATAGTGAGATCGAGTCCTTTAGGAGCCCATCAGCTTTCTCCCAGTAAAATGGACAGCTGGGCATCCTGTGTGGGAATATGTCCCAACCGTAGCCTCTCCTGATTGAGGCCATGGGTTCTTAACTGTGGTCCACGGACACACTTAAGCAAGTTGAAGAGAATTCAAAGAAAAGTTATTTTATTATGTCTTTTTCTGTAGGGTGAAGACTCTGGAGGAAAAATTGATCAGTTTAAAAGTTATGTCAGTAGTTGTCTTAATCCAAACAACTGTAAGCATGGGCTTTACCTAGGTGAGATGTCTTCATGTTTGGACATCAGATGGCTTCTTTCTAATAGGAATGAAAACAAAGTCCTTGCAGCACAATTGTGATTTTTTTCTTTCTTTCACTGAGTTTGGTTTAGGTTGGAAAAATATAAAAACGAAAGATTGTGTATTCTTTGGCTGTTAAATCACATGTTCAAATTCTGCCTCTTCTCTTACCAGCAGAGTCAACCTGTGCTGGTTAGTCACTCTCACCAGGCCTCAGGGTCCTTAGTGCAAAATCGGATTGTAAAGATTGAGTTAAAATGTGCAAACCATTGAGCACACCATTCCAGTAAAGAGAAGCCCTCATTACTGGTATTAGGACACAGAGTGCTGGGTTCTCGTGTGTAAGGTTCTTGCCATTGAAAACTATGGGGATGGGTTGGTGGGGGAGAGCTGTCATCTGTGTCATCCTGATATCAGTCAATGGGATCTCTTTTGTGCAAAGATGCTCATTTAGAAAAGGTGGGACCTTGAACAGAATTTGGATTTTCTCTAAGACCAAGACCTATGCTAAAGTATTTGTAGATTTGTTTCTAGTGCTGCCAAGGTCTCAGTGAAGCCATACGTCCTAGGGATGGTCAAGTGGGTTTATAATTTGGAACAGAAGAGAAAACTGCAGCAGGGGCTGTGTCAAAACATCATCTTTACCCAAACAGTTGACATTTCTTATAATTTTGTGACGTAGATTATGTTGAAATTGGCACTTCTACTGTACCACTACCCGCTTCATAAGCCAATCTCAAGTCCAAGTTGTTACCTGTGCTTTTGACTGACTGTTCTTTGGAGTTTCCCACAACCCACTTGCCTGCCTGCCTGTATGCCTGCCTGCCAGCCTGATCACTCCCTAACCACTCCCCTGCCAGCCTGATTGCCCCTAACTGCCCTCACCTGCCAGCCTGGTCTCCCCCAACTGCCCTCCCCTGCTGGCCTGATTGCCCACAACTGCCCTCCCCTGCGGGCCATCTTGTGGTGGCCATCTTTGACCACATGGGGGCGGTCATCTTGGAGTGATGGTCAATTTGCATATTACCTCTTTATTATATAGGATGGTTTAGCAGAATAGAGTATAAATAATAGTTGTCATTTTTTGGCACCCCAGAACCTATTCCCACTTTGTAGAAACTCTTACCAGCAGAGTCAACCTGTGTAGGTTCTCTGCTCTCTCCATCATGGAGTCCTCTAGGACAGTGATCGGTAAACTGTGGCCCCTTGAGTGTGGCTCTTCCACAAAATACCACATGTGGGCACGCATGTACAGTGCGATTGAAACTTTGTGGCCACACTCAAGGGGCCAAAGAGCCGCATGTGGCTCATGAGCTGCAGTTTGCTGACCACTGCTCTAGGAGAACAAGCCAGTCATTTCACTCAGCTGATAGGGATGAGGGGATGTGGGCTGAATTCAACCTCAGCTAATGAGATTCCCTCTATCAGCACTTCGATGTGAGGAGAGACAAAAGTGGTAGGAGTTTACCCATTTTTTTTTTCAGTGACTATGCTTAGTGACGAT